TCCCTCCCTCCATTGTGAGAACTCTGCACTTATTCCTGCTCTGCTTTCTGTTCATTCATGAGGTGCCATTCCTAAAACTTCCCCTTGACTGCTGAATTTACTCAAGAGCTTTAAGTCCTTGTGAATAATATAATCACACATATCCCCATGTATGTTTGCACTCAAAGAATTCTGGAGTGTTAAAAGGCTAATATGACAGAATAAAATTGGCAACAGCCACTTTGAATCCTCTGTAACAAGACTTGTTATTTTGTATGCTTGATACATATATCTTTAACCAGCCAAAATACCCAGTTCTGCATGGCTTAGAATAGCTTTTCCCCTGACACTCCAAGCCTTCAAGAAAAGTTACACCGCTGCCAGGGCTGGAGACATTGCTTCTGTCATATCTTGAATGAATGTGGGGCAACCAGCACTCCAAGTGTATTATCTGCCATGATGCATCACTACCATCCTATGAAGGAGAGACTTGCCTAGCACCTCCCCTTGAGATGTGGGTTGCTCTGCAGTGAGACCGGGAGGCAGTTTGATCCTCATACTACTCTTTCTATATTAAAACTGTGTTGGTATCAGATCTGTGTCCTAATTAGGGGAGTATGCCATGTAGATGATTGCAGATGGTACTTTAGAGTACAGGTACATAGATGCATTTATTTTCATTAAAATTAGTTAATACATTTGAAAAAGCACATATGCTTTAAAACCCATGTACATTTATTTGTTATAACACTAGGTTCCCTTCCAAATGCATGCCGAGTTTCAGGTATCAAAGTTACATGATGTTGGGACTACACGTATTTAAAAAAAAATAGAAAAGGTTTTCCATTCGTTTGACCAGGACAGATAATGTTTGTAAACAATTAGGTTTGTCAGAAACCATTATATTTACCAATATTTCTGTTTTCGCTTTCCTCTTTATTTGGGCATAAGAAGGCAAAAGAACTATCTAGCCTAGCATTTTATTCTTGCCATGGCCAACCAGATGCTTGTGAGAAGGCCACAAATGTTTATGTGGAGAAAACATTCTTGCTTCTGAAAAGCATGATTGATTCCGTTTGTTAATGGCACTGGTGCCCTCTTCAATTTGGTGGTACATTTCCTGATTCTATAGCTACATTCTAGTTAAGCTTCTGTTTTTGTGGTTTGGAATAACTGCCAAGTGTTATGGAGTGATTTGACTGTCTTCACTTTCCCTTTTAATTTGCTTTTTTACCAGTCTCCTCATTTTTGACAATTTCCTTCTTTACAAGTCACTTGTGACTGTGTTGAACTGCCCAGACAGCCGCTCACAAACATGTATGCTAGATTTGATAGCATTGTGCTTATTGTTTCCAGTTTATTCAACAATTATATACATCTCACCCCTGGTGCTGAATGCCACTTAGAATTACATCCAGGAACCTTCTGGTCAGTTCCAAGAAATTTTACCCCTTTGAATATTTCTTTACTATAGCTGTAGAAGTTTAATGACACTTTAACTGCCATGTCTCTGTCCTCCAGAAACTGCACTATGTATATTTTGACATCAGATATGGCAGGGCTAAATAATAACAATGTGTTGCTTTCACACCAGTCTCTGAAGCAGTGGTTCCTAAAGTTAGGCCAAAATCAAGACGTAGAGCTTATATTGCATAAGGCTGATGATATTGTCAGCTGTAATGGTTTTTAGTAAATTAGAATTTCCTCTCTCCCTTTGAAGTTCCCAAGGATCCCTCAGGATCTCTTTAGTCGGGGGGAAACCATTGTGGGGTTGCGGGATGAAGAGGGGCGTTACCATTGCCAGGATGATTTTACTGGTGTTTGCAGTTATCAGAAATAAAACCCCTAGCCATCCCACAACCCCAATGACTTCTCTTGACAAAAGGGACCTTCAAGGGAAGAATTGGATTTTTTAATTTGTGAAAAACTACTGTGTAAGTTCCATTACTGGATTTCATTGCCATTGAATCCCAGGTATCCTAGACTTACAACAACTAGAAGTCTTAGCCAGCATAGCTCACAGTCAGGGCTTCTGGCTGTAGCCCAATAACTTCCAGGGTTCCAAGTTTGGGAACCAGCACTCTCATTATCACATTTTCTTTCCTGTGTTTCCTCTGTGGAATTCTGGGATTTGTAGTTTGGTTAGGTACTTAACCAAACTGCCATCTTAGGGAGGGCACTAGAGCTTTTTAGTGGAGATAACTCTTTAAGTATCTCACCAAAACTACAAATCTCATAACTATATGGTAAAGGTTCCTCTTTGATTTGACAATGGCAGGCATTTATCTTGTCTGTATGAGGGCAACAGAACTCACATATTTGTGTTATACTTTATCTTTGCTTACAGTTTCTGGAGGAATAGCCATTTAGTTTGTTGCAGCAAAATGAATACAGACTGGTTTTTTTAAAGACTAAATTTGCCTTCCCAATTTGCTAAGCTCACTACGAAGTGAGAAAAGCTCACTATGAAGTAAAAAAAGTGTTCACTATGCTCATAAGCTCACTATGAAGTAAAAAAAAGTGTTCACTATGCTCATAAGCTCACTATGAAGTAAAAAAAAGTGCTGCCCAGATGGTTTCCTTGTATTTTACTTAAAGTTTTCAAGGTGAAGTTGAGGAAATTTGATGCTAAGTAAATTTAAAAAATGACCGTTTTGGCCACTTTTATTGATGCTTCTAAGAAAAACAAGAATCAATCAATCATTGTGGTAGTTTGGGTTAGTACATATCAGCACTTTCCATTGTGCATCTACGCCAAAGGGTTGTTATCTATTCTGTAATCAATAGTTCTCATTCAAGGTCCTGAGTCCTTTTACTCTCACTCTGAATACATCCCTAGTCATTATTAAAGAGCAAATCGGAATAGGGAATGACGTAAATCTCTGTTCCTTCCACAATTAATCCTTTAGCAGTTAGACAGATAGACGTAAAATGGCTGATGTCAAATCTAGTTCTCAGAACAGTTTTGATTGCTGTGATCATGAAAAAAAAGGTACCTACAAAGTTAAGCATTTAGGGAGTGGGAGATGTTTCTGAATGTATGCAGCCATGAAAACTGCTTGATATGTACAGCTTTTCCTTCAAATGTAGAACCTTTCCCTCATATGTTGCATTTCTTTGTAAAGGATCGGCCATGATGTCTCTATTATTCTTTATGCGAAACTGCCTCATTTTGAAATCATTGAGGGTTCTGTTGATGATGTCAAGGAGGTGCTGTTTACAGAAGAGGGAGAAATTGAAAGGAATGAGGCTGGAAGACTAAGCAGAGAGTACTTAAAATAGGAGACATATGGGAGGTGAGGGAGGGGTTTGCTACAGGAATAGAGTGAATTGCTGTCTTCTACGGGCAACTTCCATTAAGTAACTGCGGGGATTGTAAAACATAGGGGAGATTGATGGTAGTCAGCTTATCCTCCTAGTGATATTTGTTCTTCTCATCCTATTATGAATTGAAAATCCTTCTTTAATGAAGGATATAGACAAGGCAGACCTCGAGGGGGATGAACTTGGCAGTTGCCTCTGGTGCTGAGCTGCAGAGTTGGAAGCACAAAGGGAAGATGAGGGTAGCACCAAGCTGATTTTGGGGAGTATGGGGTATGCTTTTTAAACATACTGTTTGCAGTATGCCAGGATGTCAAGAAACAAGTGTCTGTAACCCTTTCCTTTAAGGGTCCTCTAGGGGGTTGAATAGCTAATAATTACAACAGTGGTCTGTTAGTTAACTTTACAGTCTGTTTTTAATTTCTAGTTTGATATTATTTTCACTAGGTAGAGAGTAAGTGGAACATAGCTTTGTACACACATGCCTCATAAACCATTTGATGTCCCACAAGGGCATTCTTAACTCTGGGTGCTATTTATCCTGAGGCTGGTCCTAGACATATGGTAGGTGTCCTGTGTTCTGGACTATACATTGAAGCACAGAACTCTGCCAGAGAGAGAGAGAGAGAGAGAGAAAGGCATTATAAATACACTCTCCTTTGGAGTGCAATGCCCCCTATAGCAATTCTGCCATTCTAACCAGCTATGTATATATGTATTTTGAAACACAGAAATACTGTAGTAGGTTTGTATGCAATATGGTTGTATGATTCATACATATACATAGACTGAGTACCCGCATGATAGGATTGTGAATACAGGACTGAATGCAATTGCTTGATGTATTTGGAAAGCTAAGCAGTTTAGACAAGGAAATCTGTTTTGAGCAGTGAATGAAGTGGTCAAACAGTGTCTGTCTTGAGTTAGGAGGAGAAAGGAGTATTTGAGAGTGTGTGTTGTGTGAAGTCAGTAAAAACAATTAAGTGTATCATTTGAGGATAGAGGAGCAGTTTTGTGGAAACGTGTGTGAATATTGTTCAATAATTATATATATGCTATTTATCCTTGTGTCTGTGTTTTCCTTAAAAATTCCCTATAAAAATTCTTTTGTTTGATTCTGGGAATTTCCCCCCCATTTTAAAGTGTGCTTTTAAAGATACTTTGCAGTCAGAAAACTGGAGAGTATAAAACCCATGTCTGCTCAGGCTGTGCAAAATCAACATCTTTCAGTGTACATGAAAGAAACGTCTTCACTTGACAACAAATAATATATCTCCCAGCTGGGGCAAGAAGGCACCAGGTGGTTGGTACAATAAAGGGGGCAATCCCAAACACTGGGGGTAGGTTTCGGAGTGGTAGTTCCTATCCTAGTGACACTAAAAGATGTATCTAGGCTGAAAGGTGAGTGTGCCAGAGAGATGCCTGTAACTACTTGGGGAGTGTATAACTCATTAGAGTGTGATATTACTGGAAGGGAGGCCTTCCTGGTAATGCAATAGCACTACCCTCATCTGCTCAGACTACAAAGCTGCCCTTGCTGATTCCCATCTTGTATGTTTGGAATTAAATGTGTGTCTTCCCAGGTCTGACAAGCCTATATAACACAACTGTACATGACTTTTTCCCTAAGGATATGATTATTAAAGAAGAAGAAAGTGCAGTCCTAGATAATCCACAATATATGTATATTTCTTTTTCAGATAACGGTTCTGGATCAGGAGAAGGAGGTAAATATTTTTCTTTCTTTTCATTTGTGTAAATGCTAGATTTTAATGTTTTATGAATTCCAGGAAAAAAATAGATAGCTTATATGTGCTGCTTTTTCTTAATACAAGGATGTTGCCTATTTTTTTCTCCACATTTTGTGTATTTTCATGAAAATAAAATGGAGTACCATTTTTTTAAAAAAAATGCTACATAGTTAAAATTCAGCACTAAAATGGCAGTTTAAACATGTACTTACAGGTAAGTCATTCTTGTTAAAACTAAAAAGGACTAAAAAGTCGTACTGTACCTGTGACTGGACTGTGCTGTTTATTTTTCTCCCAGCATTTCACTAATATATGCACAAATAAAGAAAATATCCAGCATAAATTAGTGCTACTGTTATTTACTTCTATAATATACTGACTTTTAAGCAAGTTTATAAAACATCACTATTTCCTGGATTTCAAAGAAAAATATTGCTTGGCATATCATGTTCAAGGAGATTCCACAGCTCAGTGGAAGAGTGTGTGTTTTATATGAGCACTTTCTCACATCTTCATTTAAAAGGGATGTCAGCTAGCAGGGTTGGGAAAGGTCTTTCTGTAAGCCTACAGAGAAGAATTGTCAGATCAAGGATGGTGAACTTCTGGCCAGTGGGGCAGGTACAACTTGCAGGATTCCCAACAAGTCTCTGCTGCTCTTGTCTTTCATCAGTGATTGGAAATAAGAGAGAAGTGTTCACTTAATGCCAGGGAAACTTTGCATGGAGCCGAGCTGTGCTTTTCAACCCAAAAGACTCTGCTTGAGGCTGTGCTTTGGTTGCAGGTTCTTCACCACAGAGTAGAAATTATACTAGATGGTCCCATTGTCTTAGTATTAGTGAAGAGTCCATATATATCTGTCATTAAATTGGATCCTTAATGCATTTATTTTTACCAGTGCTTTTCTTATGTAAATATGCCTCACTCTTTCTTAATAATATCACCATTGAAGTTTTACTTTTATTGGAGTTCATAAGCTCTATTAAAATTCCATGGAACTTGCATCTACATTGACACATATCAAATTGTGTGCCTGGTAATCCAGCCTGCACTGGTAATCCAAATAGCTCTAATGTCTGCAGTTGATAGATCCATTCTGGAAACCAGCGGCTCCCAACTTTGGGTCCCCTGATATTCTTCAACTGCAACTCCCAAAAAATCCTCACTAGCATAGCTTCTGGAAGTTTTAGCCCTAGAACATCTGAGGTTTGGCAGCAAATTGTGTTCACTTTAAATCAGTGGTTCTTAACCTTTGTTACTCGGATGTTTTTGAACTGCAACTCCCAGAAACCCCAGCCAGCACAGTTGGTGGTGAAGGCTTCTGGGAGTTGCAGTCCAAAACTCCTGAGTAACCCAAGGTTAAGAACCAGTGCTTTAAATGATGTTTAGCAGTTTGCCACTGAAATTCATTTTAAAATAACTTATTACTTGCTTGAAATGATTTGTAGCAGTTTGGCACTGAAAATAAGTAGCTAACAAAGAAAGCCCCGAAGATGCAGGTAGCTTGCTTCAAATGACTTGTGTAGTGGCTTGCCTCTGCATCTCAGTGGCCAACTTCTTGTGTTAACTTAATCTTTCCTGTTGCTGCTGGAATTCTGCCGTGCCATTTGCTGACAGATCTTGGCAATGCAGGGGAATGTAACATCTGGTGGGTCCTGGAGGGATGGAATTGGCCTCCAGGCCCATGAAAGTTCTCCAGCCTGACTGAGTCCCATCAACCTGATACTGAAAACTTCTTCCTCACTAGCGCATTGGAAGGAATACTAACCTAACAAATGCTAATCATTTGCTAAACAACCTGGCTTCGCACCATCAATTCAGAAGCTGTCTTGTTGCACAAAGTAAAGTTTGTTTTAAAGTCAGAATTCCTGTTTCAGTAGTTGAAATCCAATAGTAAATCACAACTAGAGTAGGTCTATTGAATCAGTGAAGATTTGGTGAAGCAACATTCATCTAAATTCCATTTCTTTAGTGGGCATACTCTAGTCATGGTCCTGTTGGATTTCATTCAATAAGTCTAAACTAAGTTCTGTTGAAGATTCCAAGCTATGCAGGAGGAGGAGAGGTGAAAGGTGAAATGTATAACCCTAGTTTTTCTCTTTGTGTAACACTAAACTAGACCTGGGCAAAATGCAGCCCTCCAGATGTTGCTGAACTGCAACTCCCAGCAATCCTAGCCCACACAGCCAGTAGTGAGGATTGCTGGGAATTGCAGTTCAGCAACATCTGGAGGGCCGCATTTTGCCCAGGTCTGCACTAAACCATGCATATGAATCATCCACATGTCTATTTAGTGAGCACATAGCTGTGAAAGGAACGGACACTGTGGCTTCTTCTGCACACACACAGAGAATGAAACACACACACACAAACACACACAGAGTTCTTTTGCTCATTTCCTTTTTTGGCAGGCAGCTGGAATATTCTATATGGGACAATGGTGGGATGGATCTAAAGAAACCTTAGCTGCTGAGCAGTTCGAACAGATCTCTGGGCTGTGACCTCACAGCTTGGTTCTATACTTCTTCCCTAGAATAGTCATTACCATTGGGTTGCATTTCTTATATTTTCAGAAAAGCTCTAGCCACAGCATGTGCTTGTTTACCTAAATAAAGTTTAAATTGGGCACTTAGAAAATATCCTAGATTTAATTGAGGACAGATGGTAATTGATCAGTCTAAGCATTCAAGCTGGGGAAATGACATGCTTGCAATACAGATAGTCATGTTAATTATTATTGCACTAATTTGTTTCAGATTTCCCTCTTTCTACAGTTTGGTCACTAAAATGTGGTGGAGACAAGAGTCTCTGGCAGATTGCTTTTAGTAATTAGTAAATTGATAATCAGTGTGTGCTATTCAGATGACTGCCATCTGTCTTTTGTTCTCATTGGGCACAATTTATTGTTACTGATAAAGGTTTAGATTGGCATATTTCTGTGCCTATAGGCACAGACAGATGCACATGTGTGCACATGCATTCACACACACTTGTTCTCCCCCTTTTTGTTGTTAATATAAGATTGAGAAAATTCAACCAGTTGCACTTGGAAGCAAGTTGTTTAAAAGTTTGTGTAGCATAGTAGCTGCAGAACTGAACTGCAGGTGTGGAAGCTACTAACTCAAAAATTCTCTTTGCTACAAACACATAACAGACGAAATACTCTCTCAGCGTCAAGCCCTTGCCCTGTTGCAACATGTCAGTAATAACACTTGTCTGTGTTGCTGATTTATTAACAAGATACAGTGGTAACTCACATAGCAACGATAATCGGTGCCGCAAAAATCGCTGCAAAGCGATTTCATCGCTATGCAATTTTAAAAAGCCCATAGGAATGCATTGAAACCCCTTCAATGCGTTCCTATGGGCTTCAAACTCACCTTAAAGCAAAAGTCCTCCATACGGTGGCCATTTTCGCTGCCCGGTAAGCAAGGAATCCGTCCCAGAAAATAGCGGGCGGCCATTTTTTTTACCCGGTGGCCATTTTGGAACCACCGATCAGCTGTTAAAAAATCATCGCTTTGTGATGATCAGTAAGCGAAACAGGGTACCGATCATCGCAAAGCGATTTTTCCCCATTTAAAATATCGCAATGCGATCGCTTTTGCGATCGCAAAATCTTCATCACTATGAGATTTCGTCGTAAAACGTGGCGCCCGTTAAGCGAGGCACCACTGTATATATATGTGGAGCATTTTGAAGACCGGGGAGCACTGTGTAGTGCTTATTGATAATAATGCTGCAAGTCTGGAAACACCAAATTTTATCAGTCATGGTTATTTCACTCTAGATCTTGCACTGGATGAGTGCTTTCTGTGTGAAGGCTTTGTTTTATTGTTAGACTTAAACTGATTAGCATGTAATCTAATCAAAAATATTGTTTATCTCAGTTTTGGAAACTATGTTCTTGGGTTGTAATTTTCAGAAAATTTGAGTTGTTCAAAAAGGTAACATTTCCAAGCACTGTTCAAGCTTAACTATTGTTAGTTAAAATAAACCAGCCCTACAAACCATGGTTTGAAGTTTGCTCATTTTAGCCATAGTTAAGATTAACCATGCAGTAGTTTATCCAACTTTCTTGTGGTTCTAGTATCAGAGGAGTAGGGACACCTGAGCCTCGGAAGGCTAGACTCATGCTTGTAATATTTATTTATGGCTTACACTTGTCTTCAAAACAGCTCTGTGCCTGCACAGGTTTGAGCAGGGAGGCGGTCATTTCAATCAAATTATGCTTGGTGTTCTTGTATCTGTATGTTTATAAGCAGAAACTGTTTATGTATTGTTTACAAGTCTCTGGCTGGGTGCCTCTGCTTTTGAGAATGTGCAGAGTCCCTTTCTTCCATAGCTTCACTTGGCTCTTTTTTTCTTTTTGGTTTATTTAATATACCTTATTTAGCACTGCATTTAAACATTATAAGCTGTTTTATTACAGTGATTATATTATATCAGTACATAAATTTGTAGCATACTTGTTGTGCGTACTTTTAAGCCCCATTGATTTCAGTGGGAAATAGTTGTGTGCCAGCTTAATTCTCCCACTGAGATTTCCTGGGGAGATTCTGAAAAGGACAGAATGCCCTACAACGTTATTAGTAGTTATTTGCTTGTGTAAAGCAAAGATACTATGCTTTTGCACAATAATCAACTGGTATCCATTCTATTGGCAAGAAAGTATACTGTACAGTGGTGCCTCGGCTTACAAACGTAATTGGTTCAGGAAGATGGTCGTAACTCAAAATGGTCACAAGTTGAAGCACCATTTCCCAAAGGAATGCATTGAAATGCAATTAATCCATTCCAGCCAAAGGAAAAAAATCACCAAAAACAAGACAAAACACTGCAAGACCCATCGGAAACATGATTAATCTGTTCCGTCTGAAGGAAAAACAAACAAACAGAAAAGCAAACAAATCCTCATTGGAAATAAAAAAAGAAAAGCAAAAAGCAAACAGAGACTGCAAGATGCGTTGGAAGTGCAAAAGAAAAACCGAAAAAGCAAACAGAGACTGCAAGACCCATCAGAAATGCGAAAAGGAAAAACCAAAAAACGAAAAGAAGACTGCAAGACCCATCGGAAATGCAAAAAGATAAACCCAAAAAGCAAACATAGACTTCAAGACCTATCAGAAATGCAACAAAAAAATCACCAAAAAGCAAAAAAAAAAACAAAACCCTGCAAGACCCATCGGAAATGGGGGGGAGAACCCAAAAACAAACAAACCCTACAAGACCCATCATAGCATAGAAACATAACCCCACCACCCAGCCCAAACCCACACTGCAAAACCCACCCAGAACACCCAGTTTTCAAAAGCAGAAAGCAGCACCTTGCCTTACCGGGCAGTCCAAAGCCTCCTCCGAACGCACACTCTCCAACCACTGGGGCGAAAGAGCTACAAAGGAGCAGCTTCACCGTCACCAATGGTTAGCAATTTGAATTCCCTGCTTTTTTTCCCTGCCTTTTTTCTGGTTGTAACTCGAAGCTCCAGTCGCAAGTTGAAACAAAATTTTGCGGCCGGAGCGGGTCTCAAAATGGTCATCAATTGGGACGGTCGTAAGTCGAGGCACCACTGTATATCAGAACTGTTTCTCTTTTGGTAGATAATCCTTCTCAATGACAAATACTTCAGATATTTTGATTAAGTTAGCTATCAAAGAATAAATATTTGGCATACCAGCATACTATCTGATGGCAAGGTTTGTGTGCACAATTGTTTAGGTTGATCATGAGAGGTGGTGAGGCACAGTGGATAGTTGGTGCTAGGCTGAGGAGATTTGTTCTTAACTCCTCTCCTTACTCAGCCATTAGGCTCACAAGGCAGTGGTTGTGGGATAATTGTCATCTCTCAGCCTCATAGTGTGGTTGTAAGCATAAATTTGGATGGTCCCTTGCAAACCACATTGGGAGGGCATAAATGTGAACCTATGTGTCTGTTGTTGTTGTTGATTAGAAAATCCTTTGTGTTGCATGATCTTGTTTCAGAATATGAAGGATCTGGAACTGAAGTTCATAGAAAACATTCCAAATGTGGTGTTTGCAAATATAGGGCAGAATGTGATGAAGATGCAGAAAATGTTGGGTAAGTAATAACCTTTATTCCAAGGATTAGGCTGCCATTTACCAGTGCCCAGAATGTCCAACAACAGCGATTGGATCTCAGTGTTTGCCTTCTATATGGCAAAAGGTGCTTGCTTAGAAGATCCTTAGATCATCTTAGCCTGTCCTCAGTTAAGAGGCAAGCCAAATAGCTAGCTTAGTACAGAGGTGGGGAGACTGGTTTTTCTAGATTTAATACTTACAGGAATCTAGCTAGCAATGCTGACTGGGGCATTCTGGGAGTTGTTGTCTAAAAAAAAGCACTTTCTTCATCTTCAGTTCAGTGATGGCAATTGCAATGATGAAGAATTAATTAATTCCATGCATTCTTTCATGGAGAAAGTAACAAGTGAACTGACCTTAAGCTCTGAGCTTGTTATACGTCTTTGGATTCTTAAATATTTTTAAATAGTTTTGGCTGCAGTTCTTAGAAACATGGTATAGAGATGCAAAAAAAAGTGAGTTGACTGTACCTGATGCAAATACCTTACATACCAGTCACAAAGGTCCACAGGCCATATGAATTAGGGAATGTCTTACCCAGGTAATTAGACATTTTTGTTTCATTTTGATTAGGTTTTCAATTGTACGTTGTTCTTGTACAGATATTTCAAAGTTTTCATTAAGCAAGTAGCAATACAGTGGCGCCTCGCTTAACGATTACCTCGTTAAACGACGAAACCGCTTGACAATGAAGTTTTTGCTATCACTTTTGCGATCGCAAAATGATGTTCTAATAGGGAAAAATCGCTTAACGATGATCGGTTCCCTGCTATGGGGTCTCCCAAAAGTGCATGAAAGGAAACATAAGGGGCCGTGGGAGGTCAGGTAAAATCACTTCCCCAGCTTTTTCCCTCCAGTGGGGAGCCTCTCCAGGATCCTGGTACCTAGCAATGCCTCCTCCCATGGAAGAAAGGGACCCATTCTATTTATGAAATGACTGTCCTGATCCAGCCTATGGTCTGGAAGGGAACTTGTAAAATTAGGTTGGTAGCCTGTGCCTGAGAGAAATTGTAGATGCAAACCTCGGTGTGTACTGGACCACAGAGCATGGTGAAAAACTGTAAAAGGCTAAAAAGCCAAGATTTGAATTTCATGCCAGCTGCTCATCTGCTTTTACAGAACTCCAGTTCTCCCTCAGTTTATTGATGCATGCAACCATTATAATGCAGTCCCTTCAGCAGGGCATTCTGGGGAAAAAAAGCAATCAAAAAGTTCACAAGGTTGCAAACTTGCATTTTTCACTCTAGCAGTGTTCTGTAATTAGACTGTCAGAAGTATCAGAGCACATTACATTCAGCACAGAAATATAAACAACTTTATCACTTCGATTATCTCTGCGGATTTGTATGTGCGTGCACTCTGTTTTAATTTTTATTGGGCTTATTAAGAGAAAGAAGAGAATTTTGAGCAGGTGGTTGTCATGAGCTGCACAGCACAGTTGGAAAATTAACATTCAGATAGATTCAGATTAGTACACTATGTGACATTCCTTCATATAAATATGCGAGCAAATCATGCTGAGAAAATATAACTAAAATATAATTCATCCTTGGTTTTCCATTTCTTGTATAAATAAATAACAGAAAATATACCTTCTGGGAGAGAGGAGAGAGCTTTATATAAAGACTTTAAAATACACAGAAGCATCATAGAATTCACAAATATTCCCAAGTTACAATAATGTGTGCTTCTTAACAGGAAATCTTCTATTTCTTCTATTTCACAGTTGTTCTGTTACGGTGAGAAGTGTTTGAGAGAGGATGAGAAGAAAGAGCATATTTTAAAACATATAAACGGTTGTTTGATGTACCTGTGACCTAAGTTTCTCTACAGAATTTATTTACAGTATAATATTAGTACCTGTTTATTTGCATATAACTCTCAATGTGTCCAGTGGAACTATATTGCAGCCTCAGGCCTATATCCAATATTGTGATTGGTGCCTTGAACTAGCAGTTGCATATTTTCAGTACTACAGCAAAGATCCTATCCAGTTCTGTTGCACAAGGAGTTGAAAATCCAGTTGTGCAGCCTCTTGTGGAAATGGTGTAACTGAGCACAACTGCAGTTTTGGGCACTTTCACTCATCTAGCAGTCTGTTGTATCTAGACCTGAGTCAGGAACCAAAAGAAGGATTACGACTTCAGTTCCTTGCAACAAGGCTTCCCAGCTGGACAAAGCCCTTTCCCTCAAACAGTGTGCAACAAAATAGCATAACCAGATACAGTGGTGCCTTGACTTACGAACTTAATCCGTAACGGAATGGTGTTTGTAAGTGGAAATGCTTCTAAGTCGAAGCACCATTTCCCATTGAAATGCATGGGAACGAGATTAATCCATTCCAGCATTTCAAAAAAAAAATACAAAAATAAAAATAAAAATAAAAATAAAACACTGCAAGCCCCTGGGGCTGCAAAAAATAAATAAATCCAGAAATAAACATAAACATAACCCCACCAGCCCAATCCCACCCTGTGAAAGTCACCCAAAACAGTTTTTAAAAAGCAAAAAGCAGCTCCTTACCTCCACCACCCTGCCCAGGTTCCACCGCCGTGACTGCCGCTGCTGGGATGCTGCCCGGCCCAGGCTCCACCACCACTGCCCGGCCCACCCCGACTTTCTCCTCATGAAGGGACCGAAGGCAGCTCACAATGTTAAAGCAAATAATGCTAAAAGCACAATAAATCACAAATTAAAAAGCAGTTAAACTGTGATAATTATTAACACTCCTTTAATTAATTAAAAGCATTTAAAATTTTAAAACAAACTTAGGAAGAAAAAAAACATCATCCAGGAGACTCAGTCATTGGTATTAAAAGCCTTTCTGAAGAGATGGGTCTTCAACTTGTTGGTGGAAGGATAATGTCAGAAATGCAGGAGTGGGGTACAAACTGCCCCCCCCATTTCAATTCATCTTTCTGTTCCCCTACTTTTCATTCCCCACCCTTGTTTCAAAGACCTTGCTTCTCTTACTGCATCTCCAAGGTGAATGAAAACTCTCTTGTGCGAACAAACATGAACCAGTGGCTGAAATGCAGCAGTAAATTGCAGCCAGAGTAGGCCCATAGAATCAGTGGGATTTGGTGGTTCAACTATTCCATAGGTTCCACTTATTTTATGGGCTTACTCTAGTTGCAGCTTACTATGAAAGATTTCAAAAATTGCTTTTCTAATTAAAACCATGAGTCTGTCCTTCAGTGCTAGCTTTGAAATCTAGTATGATCAAAGGTTGGGACAAGAATGTACAGTAGGTGCAATTTATAGAAGTATAATGAAATTGAAACTAAGGGATTGTTCCATCCTTCCCTGTATTCTGCATGACTGCAGAATTAGAAATAGGTGGTGCAGTTTTAGAAACTGGGCTTTTAAATATGTAGTCTGACAATCAAATTTCCTTTGATAAACCAGTGTTTGCTGAAGGTAAAGCCACTTGATTAGGGCTGGCCCTACCAATAGGTGCATGTGTTGTGGGGGGGAGAGGTGGTTACCTCAGGTGCTGGATTGCCACAGGAGTTAATTTACTATTATTGCCACTCTGGGAGGAGGTTTGCCATTCTGAAGAGCTGTCACTGGTCTGTACAGTTCTCCAAAACCAGCTACTTTTGAGATACCTGGCCTGGAGGGATCACCAGAGCAAAGCATTCTGGGCAGGAAGAGGTGGGAAGTCATCTGTGGGAGACACAGTCCATCCATAAAACCCCTCAGACTTTTCAGAAGTAGCTAGGTCTGTGTAGTGCTGTACAGGCTGCTTTTTCCAGACCAAGCATGCCTCATACACAGCCTTCCCAGCTTTTTCTCAAGGGCTGTACATCTCACTGTGGTGCAGCTGTACTTTGTTTCTTATCTGAGACAGCAGGCGAGCTTGGACTGCACCTCCATTGAAGAAGTAATTCCCTGTTGTTGGCACTGAGGTAACTACCTGCCATTTTCCAAGTGCACTCTAAATTTGTCAGAGATATTTGATTTGTGTTTTTCAAGTGCAAAGAGGCTTGTTTAAATATGATTAGCATTATTACAGGGACCAGGAGATAATGATCTGGATTTTTATTGCTGAAACAAATGCCACTTGATATAGATTTGCTAAAGCTTTTCTGGAACTTTAGGGCTTCTGAGATTTGCTTTGCCTTTCGCATCTGTATTTCAGCAGCCAGCTATACCACAGATAATTTGATTTCTCTTCCCAAATGTGATTTCGCTATACATCTGTAAGAAATGGCACCAAATCTTCTTGTCATGTTTGTGAGTAGACATGCTATGTTAATCTGTTAGTGCTATATAGATTCTTTGAAAATTTGTGTATGGAACATTGCATTGCCAGTCTCAAGATGTTTGCAGAAGCAAAAAAGCAGAGTGCATGACTAGTTCTGGAGTGTTTAAATTCAAGGAGATATGAGGAGATATCAGTCACAGGATACCCACTGGATGCAAAAGTGTCATGCTCCAAATTGGGCTTTGATTTTTAGCGTTTTGCAATGGCTAGTTTCCTTTGTCATCTAGTTTTTAAAATCAATGGGTTTTTTTCCACTGTGTTTTGTAATATGGGATGGAAACCAATTGTTCAAAAGGGAGGGATTGAAAAGTCTTACATGTTGCATGTCAAAGATGCCCACACTCAATGGCACAATTACAAATTTGTGAACCAGGCCAGAGATCTTTCAGGTTATATGGAATAATAATGGTAAACTCCCTCATAACTGGAGGAAGTGCAACCTGTAAAAGGCATTGTCTCCACACCTGCTGGCATGTATTAAAAGAACCTTGCACCTAATGGGTCTGGGGATGCTGTGAAATGACCCATTAGTAGGCGAAACAATCTACAGTGAATCTTCTGATCACCAGAACAAGCGATCAACACTCTTGAAGCCCAACTATGAAGATCTCTTGGGTAAACATTTGCCCAGCTCAATACACTCAAGAATATCATGTGTGAAGTGTAGGCTCCTCTTTCCATTTGCCCTGAAGCTTACTAGGTGGGCTTGA